GGGGCCGGGGCGGGGACCTGCGGGGTCTGAGCCCTTCGCCTGCCCCTGCGAAGCTCAGAGCACTTGGTGCCCTCAAAAGCCGAGGGAACTGCACCCGCTGCAGACCGAGGGGACAGAAGGAGGTGTCCGGGTCATATAAGGAAGTGCAGGGTGAACAGCATTCTCTGGGGTCTGAGCTCTGGGGTCCCCAGCACAGGAGGGACATAGACCTGATGGAGCGAGTCTAGAGGAGGCCACCGAGTTAATGAGAGGGCTGTAGCACATCTCCAATAACTAACAAAAGTCTGAGAAAATTGGGATTGTTCATCCTGCAGAAAAGATTGCTTAAAAGTGACCTAATTGCAACCTTACAGTGTCTGAAGGGAGCCTACAAGAAGGATGGAGAAGGGCATTGTACAAGGGCATGGAGTGACAGGGTGAGGGGGGATGGATTCATGTTGAAAGAGGGCAGGTTTCAATTAAACATTACAAAGAAATTCTTTACTGTGAGGGTGGAACAGGTTGCCCAAAGAAGTTGTAGATGCCCCATCCCTTGAAGTGTTTAAGGCCAGGCTSGRTGGAGCTCAGAGCTACCTGTTCTAGTGGGAGAAGTCCCTGTCCATGACAGGGGTGTGGAACTTGATGATCTTTAAGGTCTCTCAAAGACCCAAACCTTTCTGTGATTTTGCCACTGCTGTGACTCCTGTGTAGGAGCAGGGCAGCAGTGGCTCATGGCACACCATGACTGCTCCTGCCCCTGCATCTTCCCCTATCCATCTGCCCTGTCCATCCTCCCTCCACACCRAGAACTGGCCTGCGGATGCCTTTCAGGATTTGCAATCATAATATATCAAGGAGTGGGGCCAGAAGGGAAGTAAAAGTGCAGACAGGGAATTTCCTGATGGCTATCGGTGTGAGATCCAATCCTTCATGTCACAATCATGTTCCCACTTGACCTTTATGGCATCTGAATCTTTTTTTTTTCCCTCTTAAAAACATACCTGGAGGAAATGGCCTCAAGTGGCATCAGGGGAGATTTAGATTAGGCATTGGGAAAAGAAAAACCAAACCAGAAAATATTGTAAAACATTGGAACAGACTGCACAGGGCAGAGTCGCCATCCCTGGAAACATCCAAGAAATGTGGATATGGTGCCAGAGGACATGGTTTAATGGTGGTGYTGGGTTGGCAGTTGGACTTCATGATGTTGGAGGCCTTTTCCARCCTTACTGATTCTGATTTCATGRTTCTAACCATTGCCACTCAAAACTCTCTGTATTTGGAATAATAAACAGGATGAGAAGTTGTGAGTTTAACAAAGCACAGAGGCCATGATGACTGAAAATCAGGAACCTTTATTCATTACAACTCATTTCACTAGGAAAACAAATCTATGTTTGGCTGTGCCGAGCCACTGGATTAGTCCCACAGTCTCTCTGATTGTTTGGCTTTCTGTCTTGCTCTCAAAATCCTTGGTTTGAAATTTGTCTCCTTGTCTGCAGTATTGCAAAGAGAAAAAAACATTCAGTTTTCACAGAGAAATGAACCGAGGGAGCAGGTTATCATAGCTGATCGGAGGCTTTTTATTTTACAGCTTCTGGTATTGCTGAAAATTAATGCAGAGCTGAGATCAGGCCTTGCCTGTTCTTTCTGTATCTGATACTTAGAAACTGTTCTTTCCTAAAGGGAGGAGATTCCTGAGTTTGGAGAGATTTGTGGCTGTTCTGTATTGCTAGGTTGTGGGGCAAGGTTAGCTGCTGGTTGCCTTTTAGAGACTGAGGTTAGCAGGAAATCCTTTAAAAATAAGTTACAGAAAGCCAAATTCTGTTCTTGTTTATACCTTGGCTACTCAACTTCCACACAAGGGTAAAAAAAACAAGGCAGAGTTTGGTCATAGGTCTTAAACTTCCTTCTTTGCATGTGTTTGGAACATGCCTCTGCTTAGCTGTAGATTACTGATTCGTGGGAGAAACACAAGGAACAAGATAATTMCTACTGGAAAAACCAAGCCCCACACCCATCCCTAAGGCCCAGGACTTCTCCTTCAGGGAAGACAGAAAGTGTGAAAAGAAAATGGGAAATTTATTTTGTATTGTTCCTTCTTAGAYATCCACCGATGTGCATGTGTGGGGAGAAGGGTCCATGGCCCTCCACAGCTACAAAGGCAGCTTCTCAGTTGTTGTTATTCTTCCACATATTAAAGTTAGTGAGGCTATTTTATGTTCAGTTTGCAGAGAGAACAAAAATCAAGCCTTTTAAGTAACACAGGAAGGTGCAGCATATTGAATTAAATTATGGGGTTTGGCCAAGAGTATATTTAGAAATCACACAGGTTTCCAGAAGGTGCTGTGGGGCATATTTAAGACAAATAGGCTTAGCTGGCAGCCAGCCATCCATTTTCTCTTCTCTCCAGAGGTTTTCATAAACAAAAACTCTGAAGCTGGAAGTATTCCCACATCGTTCTAGTTTCTGCATTTCTTTCAAATTTATTTGTGATGAATTCAGATGATGATGTTCACTGGCAGTTCATGGATTCCTTTACAGGGTTGTCTATGACTCTTCTGTGAACTAACATATGTATTGAAAAACTTACCTGAGCATTTTTGTATATAGCCTTTCCACCAATAAGTGGCTGGTTTGCTTTTACTGTACCAGGCTGGATCTAGCAAGGCGAAGGCCATCAGTCTTTGTTTTTTTCAAAATGTTCTGTCAGTAGCTCTGTAATCACCATTTCTATTCAGTGCTGCTTCATCCCAGATCAGCAAGCTTTAAACCACACAGGTTTTTGTTGACAGAATGTTAAAATGCATCCTCTGCACTTTCAGATGGATTTAAAGGCACACTTGACGCTGAAGTTAAAATATGGAAAGACCTAAGTCACTACATTTCCATGATTTTATCTGTTGACAAGCATACTCTCTTTTTTTTCTCTTTTTTTTTTTTTTATTTGTAATGCTTTTTCCAAACCAGTTACATAACACGATTCTGGCCTCAAGCAGCTTTTGTAGCTATCAAACATCAGTTCATAGAATCACAGAATCATAGAATAGTTTGGGTTGGAAGGGACCTTAAAGATGACCCAGTTCCAACCCCCTGCCATGAGCAGGGACACCTTTCATCAGACCAGGTTACTCAGAGCTCCATCCAACCTGGCCTTGAACAGTTGACTCCGTGTGTGCATCTGCCTCTGCTGGTGCCTGGGGAGGTGGTGTGGCCTTTGGCACAGCCAAAACCAGCTCCACAAAAACACCCCATGAGGCAGGATACGCCCTACACGTGCCATTCCACCATGCAGTGGCTGCACTGAGCTTTCAGCTTGGGATATCCCATGGGATAGATAGTTCAGGCTGGAAGGCAGCACCCAGYCCGACCTTCAGCTCAATATACAGTCAGATTAGGATGCTCAGTGCTCTTCCCAGCCAGGCTCCATCCCCCGAGGATGAAGATCCCACCATGCCTCTGGGCACCTGCTTTAGTGCTGAACCACTCTTCATTTGAACTATTTTTTTTCCTTGTCAGTTTTTTTAGTCAAAATTTTCCATTGCTGCTCATTGTGATTGTTGCCTCTGGTCTTTTGTTGTGCACCTCTGCCGAGAGTCTGCCTCCATCTTCCCTGGAACTCCCCATAAGGAACCTGAAGACAGCAGTTAGGGCTTCCAATGCCCTTAGCCCCCTCCTCTCCAGGCTGAACAGGCCCCTTGTGTCTCTTTTACATCAGGCTGCTGAGAGGAAAGCTTGAATTGTTGACAGATRCATAACTCTTGCCTCTTCTACTGAAGCAGGTTGGTGCCAAACTAATGGCAAGGAAAGGATTGTGTGCCTGGCCCTGTCTTGGCAAGTCGACACTCATTCACTCGCCATGGTTACTACTCAGCTGTGTAAGCACATTTGGTGTTGGCAAAAAGCCTTTCCTGAGCCATGTTAGAAGGTATAGCACACAAATGGCCCAAGGAATGGGAATGTCATTCTGTTGGGGAAAAAAATTACTCCAATACTTTGACAAGTCCCCTGATTTTGGTACGTTTATCCAGCCCTGACCCTCAGGAAATCTGGCACCATATACTGTTTTATCACAACTGCCTTGGGCTTACAGGAAGGCTTTAGTGTAGTACTCATGGATGTTCCTGTCTTTACTAAACAAAACTAAGCCTAGGCTAGGATTACTTTCAGTTGTCAGCCTGAAAAGCCATTTTCTATACAAAACAGCAAACTGCCACTTTTTTTCAGCATTGTGTGACACAGCCGCTCTTTAAATGTAAAACTGCACAGTCAGTGAGTTACGGAGCAGCAGGAGAGATGGGACTTTCTCCCTCAGTAAGTGGATTTCAGGCCCACACAGACCCAGAGAGCAGAGATCCCCCAAATCTCTCCTCTCCTGCAGGAGGAGGAATCTGCACCTCACTGTGTTTCAGCACTAAGAGATTGTGGGTGTCGGTCTCTTTGCGGTGTGTGGCTTAAAACAGAAGCCCAGCAATRTCCTGTGTGATACAACCCTCTCCCCCGTGCCTTGCAAGGACCTTAAAACTGTCAGAGCTCCACCAACCTGAACCAAGTGCTCCAGGAACTGCCTTATTAAAGCATAAATGCTGCCCCAGGGGGGATGCTGGGGATGGAGAAGAGGGGTCCATGTCACCACAGTCACCACAGCTTCATACGTGGCCTTGGCTAAGGTGGGAGAGATGAGTGGGGGAATCAATAAAGTCTTTTTTACCCATGGCAAATGCACATCCATGTGAATGTTGTCAGTGCAGTGCAGTGTTCACCTTTCCAAACTACTGCCCTTCTGGTCAAGGAGTCATATATTAACCAAGTTAGCAGTTCTGCCAAGAAATAACAAGGATACCATGCATTTCAGCAGTGCTTTTCATCAGATCATTCCTAATTACTTTACAAACAGAATTAAGGAAGCCTCACAACATCCCTGTGAGGTAGGTGGAAATTCTTACACCCATTTTACAGGTGGAGAAAACAGGCACTGAGAGGTAAAGTGATTATCACAGCAAGTCAGAAGCAGAGCTGGAAATAAATCTAAGATTATTATCCTAGGTCCACTGCTCTAGACACTAGAGAACACCAACYCCCACATGCTATTGTAAGCTAAGAGACTACCTTTCTCTTCTACTTTCACCTCCTTTGGTGATTTTGACACTTGCATCTTATGCTCCTTGCAGAGAGCTGTGTGATCAGTTAGTAATTTATTTGCACAGGGAGCCAAGGGGGCAAACACACCTTTAAATAATCCAGGCATGGCTCTAATTGTCCAGTGATTTCCCCCTTCCCAAGGAAATAATTTTCCMCGTTCTTCATATAGATCTCTATGTTTTGCTAAATTATGTTTTGAGTAGAGTCATACACTCAATCCCCAGCTYTGAGGCTGTTATGTAACTTCACTAGGAATTTCTGGAATAAGCTATTAAATTTGTCTCATTGAGAGGGAGTAAAACACATTTATAAGCTATCACATCCAGAAATAGCAATAATCCTTTGCTCATCTGTAGGGCCTTCCATCTAAGGACCTCCCTTTCCATTACCAGCACAACACATCAGGCCTCACATCATCATTGTAAGGTAGAAAATGATTCCCATTTGCACAAGAAGGAAGAATGTCTTGCTGACAGTCCCACAGTGGTTTTCTTGCAGAGATGAGGCTGAGTGCCAGAAGACCGGGCTGTCCCCTGTTTGCCGAGCAGCACTGTCCCAATGCCATGGCCCATGCTTGGTGGCTACAGATTCACTGCCAGCCTGGCAGAGTACTTGAAAACTGGCTTTAAAAAAAATAAACCAAGAAGCAGTTGATTCTGGAGGGATGCAGGAGGGAAATGCCAGCTTATCCTTGTGCTGTCGKCACTCGAAGGAAGAAAGGAGAATTCCAGTGGCAGCTGTGAGCGAACTACAGTGTCCATGGAATACACTGCACATGGTGCATTTTACTGAGGCTCTCCAAGGAAAAAGAATGACATAAATAACATGTGGTGATTAAAGACTGGCCCACCTGACAGCCACRTTGTGAACCGTGCTCCTGATGAACAAGCACTCATCTTTAAGTAGTCCTGTAGTGTAATGAGTGTATGAATGTCAGAAATCAGGAGTGGAATTATCAAGTAAATAGAAGTCAACAAGGGTGAGTGTGATTCATCTGGTCCAGTACATTGGTATCTGGAAGGGTCAGATGCTCTGATGCGGAAACCTCATACTAAACTGTTACAAGGTTGTGCTTTTTACCTGCAGGAAGGTATGTTTCCAACCCTCTTCAACAAGTGGGCTGGTTGATGCTCAGAATCATTCAAACTCTTATCTCTTTCTGTGGAGAAAATAAAAAGTAATAGATCCCAGCTAGTATAAGTGTGATGAGTGTTCTGGTCATTTAAATCTTAGCTCTTTCTTGAATTCTACTGTCTTGAACTGGGCACAGTGGACTCTTCCTGCTGAAAAAACATTCTCTTTCTTCAGTTGTGATAACTGTTTTCCTGTTTCTGTATTAAGAGAGTGGGTAAATAGTAGCCTCCAGACTCTCTCTTGCATGTGTTGCTTTGTCATATTCCTTCCCAAAACTGAGGAGGGACCTCCCAATCTTCCTTCACAAGGAAGGACACCCAACAGCCTTTGTCTAAGGAATAAAAGTTTTGACCCCAGGCAAACCTGGGGAAAATACACAAGAGGCCCAAGAGGAGCAAAAGGATAAATACTGTAAAAAAAAAAGTAAAATATGTGGCACCTCTGTGGTGCTGAAGAATCCCAATGCACCCTACAAACTTTCTACATATGTACAGCTTAACGTCACTCGGCAGTGAAGTCTGGCCACCTTCGCAGCTGTGTGACCAGGCAGGGAACTCCACCGAGGGGGTGGGATCAGGAGTGACAGGACTGACTGTAAGGGGCTGGGACATGGCCCAAGCCTACCCAGAGCTCTCTYAGGCACCCATTTGCTTTCCATGGGCTTTGAGTCAGACCTGCGACAATGAGAGGCCGCAGGGGGTCTTTTCTAGCTAATGGCGGGATGAGTTTTATGCATTGTGCCAAAGACTTTTTTTTCCCTGACCTGGATTAGAGCCTGCCCTGGGAATAATGGGATGGGCTGCAGCCCAGCAGAAAGAATTTGCTGAGATGGCAGGGTCTGAGGTTTGCAGAGCAGAGTGCATACCTGCACTTTTTTGGCATGAGGCTCAGTTTTGGGGGGACATAGCTGTTAACCTGAAGCTTTGGAACGCATTGCTGCACTGTCCCAGCCAAAAGATGCTGCTGTAGTCCTAAAATTAGAAATCTATATTAGACATCTAAACATTTGCAAGCACATCATTTTCTGCCTTTTATAAAAAAAAAATCTTTCCAAGTCTCTGAGAATTCTGTACAGACCTGTTGGCACAAAAGGTCTAAATCATCTTATGAAAGGCCTTGTCTTATTGAGTGAGACCTTGGCATTTTATAGAGAAGTATGAATGGCTCCCATCTGTCAAATTAAAACAAGGCTGTCAAGAGACTATTACCATATCAGTCTTTTCAAACTTGACCAACCAGTTTTGTATTTAGAGGTTTAAAAASTCACATAGTTACCCAGACCCCTGGTTTAGGTTCACACATGCCTTCAGGATTCTGTACCTGAGATTTGCTGAGTGCCTGGGAGCCTGGAAGCTCCAGGAACTGAACACTTGTCAGGATCATACCATGAAGGCTTATATTTGGGTTCCTGCTGGGTGGGCTGTGGCAAGATTTCCCCCTCTTGCTTGGCTAAATCTAGTTTCACATCTTTAAGTCACAAGGCTACAAGTAAACAATATCACTTGAATTTATTCTTTCCAGTATTCTGAWCTAGTCTCGGGGCTGGACAATCCTCTTGGGGACAAATAATCAATCCCTGGGCATCTGCTGAATCCTAGTAGAGAGCTACCGTTAACCTTGTCCACTGTCAATGTCACTTAAAGAGAAGAAATATTTTTGACCAAGGGAAAATATTTTTACCTAACTCAGATATGCATTCACAGAGAAATTTAGAACATTTTTGCTTTTATTTTCTGAATAAAGAAGGGAAGTTGGGCTTAGTATTTTAGTGTGTTGATGCTAAGCACAGAATTCACTTTGTGAATTAAGTAACTGCAATTCCATGCCAACAGCAAAGGGGAGATCTGCTCAGCGAGTCATAGGATGAAACAGAAGTGGAAAGACTGGATAAGGTGTTGATCAGTCTTTCCCCTAGCTGGCTGAAAGACAGATCCTCCCCACATTCCTAGAGAAATATGGAACATAAGGCTTTCAGTAAATATGATCACAGTGGCAACATTTGGGTATCACTGCCATGGTAGGTTTTAAAATACATCAGTTATGTGTACAGTGTAGATATTACCATCAGGAGTGAGCTGGCATGTGGAAACAGGGAAATACAGGGACATAGGGGGTAAATAAGGCACAGTTACCATGATAGTACCTTTCCAGCTGAGAATCATAAAAGGAAATAATATTCAAGTGGCCATTTTAGCACTTTGCTTAAAAATATCTTTGGATCCTTTCTCTATCTCTCCTTTTCTCTTCAACCTTTTCCTTCTCATGTGCTCCCCACATTCTGCACCTTCATACAGTCAAATCATCTGACCTGGCCCGGCTGCTGGCTTTACTTAGCCTGCTCAGGGGTCTCATATCAGCGGCAAGTTCAGCAGGTGCTGAAGGCCCTTCCACTTCATCTCTCACCACCTGCTCTTCTGCTTTCTTCATCCCTGGCTCTTCCTGAGGCCCTGGCCGCTCCTCCTCTTGTTCTTCCTCCTCCTCTGCTCGTACCTTCTCCTCTTCTGGTTCCTTCGCTTGTGCATACGATGGTAGCCTCTCATCGAATGCCCTGGAGAGATCTTCCAAAGGTCCCATTCCAATCTTCTCCTCAAACTCATTGTAGGCTGATGGAAGGGGACTGGGCTCAACCCCTACTTCCGTGAGAGGGAAATAGTGGGATACCGGCTTCTCTTCTTCCAGGAGCTTGTAGCCTTTGGCCTTTGGGATGGTGGAGACTGTGATGGCGTGGAGGGGCTTCTCCGGGATCTCTCCGAGCTGCTCCTCTGCTGGTCTTCTCAGAGCCCGSCGGATTCTTTTCAAGATCAAGTGACTGATCTCGACCAGGTTGAGGAAGAGGGATACGGAAGCCACCACCAGCATGAACATAATGAAGATGGTCTTCTCCGTGGGCCTGGAGACAAAACAGTCCACAAGATTGGGACAGGGCCACCGCCCACAGCGGTAAAGGGGGAGAATTCGGAAGCCATACAGGAAGTACTGACCTACTATGAATCCCACCTCAAAGAGAGTTTTGAAAATGATGTGGAAGATGTACGTTCTCAGAAGAGTACCTTCCAGGCGAAACTTCTTGGTTCCATCAGGGTTGTTGCCTTTGTTTTGGTTTGGAGCCAGGGGCAGCTTCTCTTCATCCACCTCAGCTTGCTGGCGCCTCTCAGCTTCCTCCCTCTCTTTTCTCTTCTCCTCCATGCGGACGTGGTGCACGGCATGCCCGAAGTACATTAGTGAAGGCGTGGATACAAAAATGATCTGCAGGACCCAGAGCCGGATGTGGGAGATGGGGAAGGCCTCATCGTAGCAGACGTTCTCACAACCAGGTTGCTGGGTGTTGCACACAAAGTCTGACTGCTCGTCTCCCCATACCAGCTCGGCAGCTGTGCCCAGGATCAGGATGCGGAAAATGAAGAGCACTGTGAGCCAAACTCTCCCGATGACAGTGGACTGCTCGTTCACCTGCTCTAAAATGTTCCCCAAGAAACTCCAGTCACCCATTTCTTACTGTCTAAGGGAAGAAAAAACAAAGAAAAAGACCACAAATTATGCTAAATTTTAATGATTTCAGATTTTCCCACTGATGTCTTTTGTTGCTTTTGATCGGTGTTTCCTTAACATGCTTTGAGAACAGAAAGACTGTTGCTTGCTTGCTGATTTGCCTGTTTGCAGTGATTTATTAGCAGGAGAAGGGCTGGGAAGCCAGAGCAAGCTGCCTGCTAAATTCTTTCTTCCATGGCTCTAAATGGGCAATTACTTTTCAGCCAGGGAGTATATTTATCTCCTTTTGCAGGTGAGAGTCTTTCTGGTGCCTCATAGGCTCAGTTCTGAGAGTCTGCTTAGATTTTGTACACGTACAAAAACCAGCAGTACAGTGGAACAGATTTATCAGCAGGCAGCTGCAGTGCTTAGAAGAGAGGGTGAAGCTTTCAAGCACACAACCTCTTCTGCACCACAACCCCTCACGGGTCAAACAGATCTYGGATCTGCGCCCATCTTGCACCTACTTAAACCTGAATTCTCTCTAGGCTGCAAATATCAATCTACATTAGCAATCACCCTATTAGGTAAGAACAACAATTGCAACACCATTACTACATTAGTGATGCTGTATAAGCTTAATAATACTATATAGATTAGTTTTGCCGTAAAGTTACGTTACATGCAATACAGTTATCTGCTATTGGGGCTGTTCTTTGCATCCCCTTCTGATGTCAGTTGTCCCACTGACGGTGGAACCAACCTGGGGAAAACCACCAAGGTCTCTAAACAGGACCTAAAGTACTATTTGCTGTCTCTAAAATATCAGCGCCACTATCTCACTAACACAGAGCTGGAAGCCAGCTGCAGATATACTAYTGGCAAGCTAAGAAAGTCCATTTTCAAGTAATGCAAGTCAAATATTACATCTGTTATTACTTTTGAATTATAAGAAATTATTCCTAGGTCAGGGCTTCATTCTGCATATCCTGAACTTCCCACTATATAATTTCYGGCAAGGGAAGATCTATGAGTGAGGGAAATAGAAATGAAAGTTGTTTTGTATGGGTTGATTTAACACATCACAGCAGTCTGAAGTCTCTGAGGAATGCAGAATATTACAGTGGCCCAGAAAGATYGACTTGTGGAGCATGACAAGTGAAACAGGGATCATTATTCATAAAATAGCTGTTCACAGGGATCTAGAAGTTCATCTCTTAGATACTACCTCCATCTATAGTTCCCTAAATGCAGACACATACACAAGCGCTGGGAAAAGAAAGGTACAGTCAATAGCATGAAAATCTGAGATTCTAAACTTCCCTCCTTCTTCAGATACCAGGGGATATATTTGTAATGCCATATGTTACGACACACCAACGCATACGACTCTGTTTCAACTACTCTGTGTACGTATTCACACATAGACAAACATGTAAAATACTGAGAATTCTATGGCTTGGGGGAATTTCACAAATTTTCAATAACATGTAAAATACTGAGAATTCTATGGCTTGGGGGAATTTCACAAATTTTCAATCAAAAAAAAAAAAAAAAAAAAAAAAAAAAAANAAAAAAAAAAACGATTACCATGACATCTTGCTAAAACAAGATGGACTCATTCCTTGCCTTCAAAATTCATGACATTTTTACCCTGGACACCCTTATTAGAAAATGAAGAGCAGAACACAGTTCCTTCAGCTTGCACAAACACCTTGCGTACATAAGCRGCAAACATATAATTTAATCACCAAGGAAAATTGCTACTTTCTCAGTCATTAAAGTCGTGTAAAGAAGTGTGTTAATGTCAGCGCTTACATTAACAAGTCTAGCAGAAGATTATGCTGTTTACATACATTATCTAAACTGATTTAAACATCCTCTTTCCGCAAATTCACAGAGCAAAGTACACCCGACAGTTACCAATCATGTGCAACTCTGTAAAAAAACATGACTAYACACAGCACAAGCTTCATTGTCCCCTGGGCACTTCGGTTAACTCCATCCCTTTCTTTCCCTGTGAGTCACACTGATATCTATGCTACCATTTGAGCATTTCCACTGCAGCACGCAAGAGCGACGTCCTAGATGTGATAAACCTTATCACACGGAAAACTCACTGTATGACAGAAGGGAGAATGTTTCCTGTCTAACTCCATCACATGTCTTGCTCGCAGCTTGCTACATTTGGCTAAGCCCTTCCTGAGATCACTTCCAACTGGCCACATTCTTCACAACTCTGCCATGCCCATCCCCTCTGTTTTCTGCAAGTGAACTGGTTTGAGGTTGCTCAGTCGGTTCAGCTGCAAGCAGCGATATTGGGTGGACTGATGACGAGAGGCACAACCCGTTCAAATGTCTGGGATTCCACCTGCAAGCAGTCAGCCCCTCCAGCCTCAAAAAAAAAACAAAAGGTGTAAGCGAGGTATTTTAGACAGTCACCTTCTCCCTGAAATTGCCTGTCATGAGGAAAGAGCTGGGACACTGCCTAAGCCCGCTCAGAGTCAACAGATTTTGTGTTCTGAACTCTCATGGGCTGGCTGCAGACCCCCACCCTGCGCTCCCAGACATCGCAACCTGCGCACGATACCAGCGAAGGAGGCCCAATAGGTTAAGGGTGTTGAGCAAGCAACTTGCCGCTGTGAGAGGCTCCACCGAAGAAATGTGTCCCCCTCCTCTCTTGGCACTCTGCAGGGAAGAGTGAACTTTTGTCTCTCTTCTTCCCTACCCTAAAAGCCCCAATCTTGTCGCACGACTGAGCAGATATGACTGAATTGGCTCTGATGGTGGGTTTTAGTTGCCCTGCAATATTTAAGCTCCGAGCCAGACGGCTTTATGAAGTGAGTGACAGTCAGTGACGTGGGGAACAATAGGGAGAAAAAAATAGAGAGAGAGGCAGAAACACAGAGAGGAGAGTCCACTGAACATGAAAAAGCAGAGSGGGGAGAGGAACAGGCAGGCGACAGGCAGTGAAAAACTAATACATGCATAAATGGGAGTTTGCTCAGTTAAGCAAGGACCAAAGCATCTCTGCAATTCCACTGTGGTTCAGCACAGCTCCCTGTGTGCCCACACTCGCTGGTTGTGGTGTGGCAGGCGAAAAGGGAACACCAGCATCTCTGATAGTGGCAGCATTAATTGAATTAATTTGTTACCCTGCACCCAGCTCTGACAGACAAGTTTCATTACTCATTTTCAGGCAGATGCTGAAGTACTGGGTTTGTATTTGGCATTGTCAGATACTTTGGTCTGCTCTTTAACATCTTTTACCTGGAAAAAGCAGCAGAAAGGGAAAAYGGGATTATCAGTCAATATTAATCAAAGTTGAGAAATATCAATTTTACAACCTCACCTTTTGGTGTCTTAGCTCTGCTTAGTTTTTCCTCCAAATGCATCTTGCACGTGCGCATGCATCAAAAATGTCTAAACCAAACTGTTTTGATAAGGAGCATAGCTGAATTCCAGCAGCCCAGCACACAGGAATGTTACCCCAGGCGACTTGCCTGCCCCCAGCCACCTGCAAAAATGCTGGAGAGGCCACAGAAGAGAGGAATCACAGGCTCAGTAATGCATCCACAAGTACAACTGAACTGAGATTTTTAATTATAAGTCAAAGGTTATAATCTTACTCTGAGATATGGCTTTTGTCATCTTTCTGTAGGAATTGCTCAGAATGTGCTCTTRGTGCTCAGCTCTGAAGAAAAASAGGATTACTGGAAGCAAGATTTGCTAAGCAGTGATACAGATGCCAGGCTCATAAAGTGATGAAACAGCAAGTAGCTCTCCTCTCTCTTTATGCAAACTCAACACCGAATTTAATTTCCCAGAATGGCATTGAGATATTAGAACACGAGGGACACAAAATTTTGTACCTTCAAACCAATGGTTTCAGGCCACTCTTCAGTGTTTTGGGGCATTTRTGTCCATGTAAGTTCAGAGCCTCATCTCATCAGTTGTCAGATTTTAGGCTGATTTGGAGAGCCCCAAAGTTCAAAGCACAACTGGAGGCAGAGATGATGTTTCTCAAACTGTATTTCAAAAGAGCTAAAGGATGAGTGAGAGATRGAAAATAACCTATTTTGTAAGAGGAACCAGTCTAGAGACACAAAAGAAAAATCACCCTCAGTGCATGTAGTTGGACTGAAAGTCATATTCTGAACTCCTTAAGAAATCACTCCTAAACAGGGAAGCAGTAGCAGAACATTTTTCAKCCAATACTATATAAAGCATGGGAACAGTCTTCCTGGAGAGAGGACACACAGTGAAGAGTTCACAAGCCTCAAGAAGATGAAGTGAAAAAGAAAAAGTATGGTTAGATCAATGAGAGGAGTAAGGACAATAAGGAAGAGGAAGGAACACCTTTGTTGTTTTGTTTTGTTATAYTCTACTGAGATAAATTGGTGTCAGTCCATGAGTGACTGTCATCATTGCCACCCTCATCCCCTCTCTGGGAAGCAGTAAGAGAGGGACTAAATGGTTCCACCAGCATCCAGCACCTCTAGAGAGTGCCTGGAGGCTGGTGCATCACAGAGGAGAGGTAGCTCAGATGTTAAACTGCCCATTCCTTTTCAGACCAAAACTGTGGTTTCGGAAAACTCAGCTCTAGTTGAACATGCACATCCCTTTCTAGGTCTTTTCTCTCTCATATAATGAGSCAAACTCCAAATCTGGTCTGTAACTACATGGCTATAGTCCATCTCTAAATTTTAAACAGCTACTGTCASAGACCTTTCCCATTGACCTTCTAGCTGCCTTTTGCAAATACTGTCTAAATATCAAACATTGTCTGACAAGTCACAGAACAGCTTGCAATATGCAGCTGATGCAGAAATTATATCAAGTCTGTGATTATTGGGTCTCTGTTACCTTCATCCAAATGATCAGGCTGGCTTTCTCTGATATCACAGACTGCAGAACCTTTAGCATGGGGCACACCCAGTTTGCAGGACATTTCTGGTTTGTGGAAAACCACACAGTCCCTTTATCTGGAGGCCTTTTACAAAGGGACTGCTGAGCTCTTGGTCGGATTCTCCAGCTCACTAGGTCCTCCTTCTGTTGAAGCAAAGGGTTTAAATGAAGATGAAGGTGGGCAGTGAGGAAATGCTCTTGTACTGGCACTATGCAGGGAAGTGGTTGGTTGAGATGGGCACAAAGAGGAGAAGGCAGAGCATAAGAAGATCAAGAAGGAGACTTGAATCTGAGGCACCAGGGTAACACTGGAAGTCAGGGCTGCCTTTRCAGTATGAAAGCAGTGCCTGGGAAAGAAAGGAGACCATGAAAGCAAAGGTGAAGACTGGATCTCACATGCAGCATGTGACAATCATTGAGTCTGCAACAGAACTGCACTGACAGTGCCAGATCAAAAAAGGGCAAACACTTCGAGTCATACCTGGCTCGGTGTTCAAGCTCTCATTAGGCAACCTATAGATGTGCTGAGACTTCCATTCCACAAAACCAGTGCTAAAATAATAACAGCTAGTGAAAATAATACCACTAACTCAAGGTTTTTCCTTGCCTTTGGGACTTTACTTGTCTTCTAAGAATCATGGGCATCTCCTGCATTTGTCAAGTACTATTTTCTTTGGAAAGAAGTTTGCTTCATTGCTGACTTCTCAACCTTTAGCTGCTTTGAGGCTGGTGACTGAGCTTCTGTCCCTGGCACCAGTGAGTCTGTGAAGTCTCCACTGCAACTCAGCCTTTTGCTCAGAGACTACGAGGTCACTTGGGGAATGTGGGATTTTTCATTCCAAACGGATTTCCAGCACAGACATGATGTCAGGACAAGGCAGGGCCATGCTATTGAACAGCTCTGTTCATGCATGATAGCAGATTGTGCAATTATATAGCGCACAACCCTGGATAACGATACCCCTCCCTCAAACAAAGTTATCTTCTCCGGATCTGCTTAGCTAGAAAGYGGGACACGCTTCCTGTTCTTCTGCTGAACACACAGACCTCTCTCTYGTGGCTCAGGCTGACTGCTGGACGTGTTCAGCCTCCCTGCAAGAAGCTGGGACACTCACCCACCCCAGCACAAACCTGCTGGACATCCTTGTCCATCCCAGAGCCACCGTGTTCTATCCTCTGACCACCAGCACGAGAGTCTCCCAGATTTTATCAACTCTCTGCCACCTACCGGTCTCAGAAATCATGTAAATGTAGCCAGCCCCGGACAGATCTTTAAGCAGGCCTTACCACGTCCCTGCAAGGCAGGCACTTGTCATTTCCTGCATTTTCATGGTTAGGTTCTCAGATTTTTCCAGGACTCTCTCTAGACACTGGTGGAAATGAATTGCTGGGGAATATATTTTGCTAGGGAGCTACAAACAAACCATAAAGAAAAGAGGAGGAAGATATAAAGCATTGAGGAGGAGGGAAATTGGGGAAGTGTGTAACAGGAGGGCAGGAACACAGAAGAGGTGAAGATAGGGCTGGATTGTGCTGAGSCTCGAGTGAAAGATGAATACTTATGGGAAACATGTTTTTAATTTAAGGGATGGAACAAAACTAGACAATTAATAAAGATAAGCAGGGCAAAAGTGGAATGTCTTTCAATATCTGTTAAATGCAGTTCTCTGAAAATTACTGTTCTAGGAGGACCTGGGGAATTACAGGCCAGTCAGCCTAGCTGTGATACCTGGAGAGATATTGGAACCAATTATGAAACAATCAATTTATAAGTAGCTAAAGGACAATAAGCTGATAAGAAACAACCAGCAGGGAATTTTGAAGAGCAAATCATGTCAAACCAAGCTAATTTCCTTCTTTGACTAACAGGCCTGGTAGATGAGGAGGAAACGGTAGGTGTAAAATACCTTGACTTCAGTAACATTTAGAAAATATCTAGATTACAGGCTCCCAAGGCAGCAAGCAAAGTCACCGTGCAGAGGGCACACAGGTTGAAGTACCATAATCAAGGGTAATTATCAGAGCTTCACTTTTCCAGCTGAGAGAATCGTGTCCCTGAAGTTCTGCCTCCAGGGCTGTTCAGTATTTCCTTGAGTGTCTTGGACAACAGACTAGAGGACAAAACAGAGAGGATGACAGCTGGGCTGGGGGTCAGCAGTCCCTCCTGAAGGCAGGGGGCTGGAGTGATTGGAATTTGAGAGGAATGTGAGACACTGGAGAGCTGGGCTGCCTCTGCAGAGGTGACAGCRCCTTGATGCAGCTGAGGAAAGGTGRCTGCAGACACCAAGTGTGCTGCTCCAAACTAAATCGTGACCAGCCCAGCAGAAAGAGCTRGGGTGGGACCCAAAGTGTGTCTGCTGAGTTCCCACAGAAAAACCAAATCTCACTCTGAGGTGCTTTAATGTGGATTTTGTGTATAAGGCAATGGAAGCAATTATTTTGTGCATTTACTCAGTAMTGCTGAGCTCCCAGCAGGAACAGTGTGTCCACTCCCAGGCACTACATTTTACAGGAGATGTAGGCAAGTTGGAGAGAGCCCAAATACGAAAAACAAAATGATAAGAAGTGAAAAAAAATTACTTATAAGGAATGGATRAAATAATTGAGTTTGTTTTCTTTAGGAAAAGAACAACAGGAGGGGAGGCACGATAACAGTCTTCCAGCACATAAACATTTGTTATAATGGGTGGAGAGACTAAGCAGTTGTCCCCTACATTCACCAAAAGTAGAAGAGGAAATAATCAGCTTAATTTGCAATAAAAATGATATAGCTAAACATTAGAAAAACACTTTGCAATGGCAAGAATAGCAGAGCACAGCAGCACACTGCTTGGGGAGGCTGTAGAATCACAGGAGGTTTTTATGAAGAGGTAAACAAACATCTGTTAAGGATGATCTTACCTCATAAGCACAAAAACAAGCAGGGGTAGAARGAGCCTTTCTGAGGTCTTTGGCTCTGTGGTTTTGTGTAGGGCCAAAGGCCTAGAGAAATCTCAAAGCAGTATTTTCAGTTGGRAAAAAAAAATTGCATCTTGGCACCAAGATGTGAAAACTCAGCCTGGACACTGKGGGTTGTCCACACCACCCAGAGCAATGCTGACCCGGGGAGACACCAGCTCAGGCCTGGAGCAGGTTGGCAAGGAATTSTACTTGAGTTAATGATCTCCTGTGGAGTGGGGCTAATTAGCTGGGGCAGTGTGAAGCACAGAGGTGCTTTTTTGCTTCCCCACTGCTCACCCCAGGTATCTTCACGCTGCCCTCCAAGGAGGGCTGTCCTCAGGGAACCTTCAGGGRAGTCATGAATGTGTTCTTTGCCTCCACAAAGTGATGGCTCTAAACATGCTGGAGTTTTAGAGGTGTTTGCTGCCCATAACCCCATTTCAACCAATTTTCTCTCTGTTTTCGGCCAGCCCAGCGAGGACCTTTCCCAGAGACGCTGATTTTATCCGAGGGCGGGAGGAAGGATGGCCAGGCACCTTGTCCCGGTGCGATCCCYGGGGCAGCATCAGCGGAGCAGCAGGAGGAGCAGCCGCTAGCGGGCGGTGTGTTCCCATCCATGCACGGCAGCACCGCGGCGCCGGGGATGCTGTGGGTGAGAAAGAGCGTCATGGACATGCTGTGTGCCTGCTCCTGTCCACACCCGACTTCACTGTTTCGTAAACTTTCCCTGCAGATACCAAACTGAGGCACAGCAAACACAGGAAAGTTGTGGTGATGCTGTAATGCCTATTWTGAATATGATTTTTTGCAGTATTTTTACAATGGTTAAATAAGTGGAGTCAAACTGACACGAAGACATTACTTTGATATCTGTAATTTTACTTAAACTTTATTGAGAAAACACTTTTTTCACTAGTAAAATCTCTGTTTTCACCTCAACCTGTATTCCTTTTCCAGCAAATATTTCTCAGGTATATGAGCTGACCTGCATGATTTTCCCTTTAATAATAACATGGTTAATAATAGAAACTTCACTAAAAGTATACAAAGAACACATAAGGCAAAGAAAATGAACTCTCATGTGTCAAAGGTAGGTGCTGTGCTACTGCAGCAGCACCAGGGCCAGGGAGAGAAGAGTTCTGCTTTAGACACATGATTTCATGGATCAGCATGGTTTCACTTAAAACCTGACCAGACTATTTCTAGAAGCATAGACCTTCACAAGAGTGTGTTGGTTKTAAATTCTAAGCTCTCCTGTATTGCAGATGCTCTTTCTGAAGAGCAGCTCTGGGACAGGGCCTAGAGCACCTTGGCAASGTGTTAAATGTGCATTATTGAGCCATCACATACAAAAGGCCTTTCCTAGGTCCCCATATAATCTCCTCTTACCTGTCTCTTTCTCTGCCTCCTGCCTAAAACTTACCCCCTGGTCCCAGAGGTGGAGCACATCAGCTGGAGGACATCACTGGGAAAATCTGAAAAAACAGACAYGATGCGTACTTAAGTAATCCATGGTCTCCAGTTTCTCTCAGCAYACATATTCGAGTTTATGTCCCTTCCACCTCTGCTGAGATCCTCCTCAGAGAAACAGAGGAACTCCTGTCAGGAGCTGTGAGGTATCAGGCCAGTCAGGGAACATGTTGCTTACAGCCAATCTGGGCTATGTGAAGTGGATCCAGGGAAAGCAGTGACAAGTACCTGATAATACTTCTGGTAATAATTAATTGCTCCAGGCTTGCCAGTAAAAGAGGAGCTAATAATATCTCCCAGCCTCTTGAGGGGATCTCCATATGTTTGYTTTATCAAGACTTTTTGTACAATCTCTTAACATTCCCAGGCACAAGGAGCTGGAAGGGACAAAGCTTGTGGAAGATGGAACAAGTCTGCATGTCAGGAAGCATCCCGTGTTACCACACTGTCCATGAGGGRTTTTGCCTTCCAGTTTCTAATGGGGGTTCATTCGCTACTCCTTCCTCACTTCTCCTGGGCTCTTTTCAGCCCACCAAGGCCTGCCTTGCTGAGTGGCAGGCTCAGGACTCTCAGGAGCGTTGTCACCACCCACTCTCCATCTTTCTCTCCCTGTCTTCATTTCCACACTGCAGACTGACACAGTGGAGGTGCACAGGTGGCCCAGGAGAGCCCATCTGGACAGGGCAGGGATGGGGATGGCAAAGCAGACCATCATCTCTTCCTCCCATCCTGAGAGATGTGCATACCTGCTGTGCACTTTGGCTGACCTCAGCTTCCCATTTCCCACAGCAGAGCATGTTCCCAGCCTCCCTGGGGACGACATCTGTGGGGACAGTTCCTGTTTCCCTGCCCTCTCAGTCTTCCTGAGCCTGATATGATTGTTTCTTTGGGCACAGTGTAAGAGATGCCAGCAAGGAACGGAAGCCTCTCATGCCTCAGCAATTTATTAAGTAAAGGAGGTTATTGAACTTGGAAGCTGTTGAGCCAGTCATTCTCTTTTCCTGATCAAGAAGACAGCCTGTCCATAGATCATCATCATTCATCCAGAGGTGTTCAGCGTTTCCTGAGACAATTTGGCTTCAAACTGATAAACAGCCAGAGGAAGGGAATCAAGGATTATCTATGTACAGACCTGCCAGAAAACATAGATGGGAGAGCCAAAGGGCTTCTCCAATTTGGAGAGGCCTGCAGAGTGTTTTCTTCATTATTTCCAGCAAATTTCAATCCTTTAAAGTCCTGTTACTGCTCAGTGACCATTATATTCCTAGGAGGGATATGGTTTAAAGCATATCAGGATCCTTTTAAAAGAAGTATTAGGATCCCTTTGAGGGTCCCCTATCCTTTGTGAAACCTGGAAGAATTTTCAGCAGCTACTTYTGTGGCAAACCTCTAAATCCCAGCTTGGCACAGAAAGTGTTGAATGCTCTCCCCCATGCCTTGAGCTATGAGGCTCCATTYTTGTCTGATTGATAAACACCATCACAGTGAATACAGCCATTATTACAGGTAGCTCCTCAGCAAAATGCATGCATGGCCTGTGTCTCTGCAGTCCCCAAAGCTCTGAAGCAAGGATGTGAGCTTTAACATTTATGTTTGCTCCCCTGCTTTGGCCCAGGGGGCAGCAGGTTTGGTGGGTTTCTACTCCCCCTGAGCAGTGCTGAGTTTATGCAGCCCTGACTCTGCCTTTCAAAAGCATGCCCTACTTTACAGAAACACAATATAGAAGTCAAGTCCATTCCAGTACATCCTCTCTCACTGCATACAATTGTGGCATTCCATTCCAGTTTATATTCATCAAGGCTGTTCCTGCACAGGGGACTGGAGCTGTAAGACATTGGGATAGATGCTGGGATGGTTTCTAAACCTGAATGCTAAAATCAATAGGTACAGCCCTAAGAAAGAGTGAGGGCAGAAGTGGGGCAAAAATAAAAATACCAGCCAGATTTTTTTGTGACTTTGAATCACAATTTCCTAGTTACCAGTATTCAATATTTGTGAGATGGTGCTCCAGTAAATGCATTGGTAATTTGGCTCTACAACTTGGATAACCAAGCAACACTGGAATATGGAAGTACTTGCTATTCAAGAACTCACCAAAGAAAAAATGAACTGAAGTTATTGCTTAACTAAGTTTAACACATGGTGATGTTGCTGACTCAAAAACAGCCTYAGGTATTTTTAAATGTTCTTTACAGCTTCCTCATTTTGCAAACCTTAAGTCCAAAATGAACAAAACCTGTTTTTCCCTCATCTGGATGGGTAAAGTGATGGCAGAAATTATTCTCCTGAATCATTATTCCCTGATCCCCAGCTTRCTGCACCCTTATATGAAAGCAGAATGCAGTGCTTTGAAAGACATGTTGCTTTTTAAAAAATCCTGTTTCCCAGCCCTGAAGAGAATTCTGGGCTAAATAAACACAAAGAATATATTTAAATACAAAAATATAATAATCACTAACAACTGCTTAAAATAATTTACGAGGCACCAAAAATACAACTCCCCAGTAAAGAAATAAGAGTGCAATTGAAAAAACACAACCTGATTTAAAATTGAAATGAGAGGGCTTAAAGCAAGTAAAGTAAGCAAAAACATATAAGAAACAGTAAGAGAGAAGATGAATGTAAATTAGAGCAYAGGAATTACAAAAAACTATGATGAAGGTGAAAAGAAAAAAAAAAGACTGACAAAGGCATTTTTTTAAAAAAGTAAATTAAGACAAAAATGAATCCTACTCATGGTATTGATCTATTATCAGATGGAAAACTTAGATTATTCAGTAATAATGCAGACAACAAAAAAATAAATCAATAAATATTCCTATCCTACTGCTGAGAGAAAATAAAGTAGTTGATAAAGACTTTGTTGATKACATGTCTTTTCTTGTAATATCTCAGAGGATTTAAATACCACTTMCTAAAATCAGGCATTTTAAATCAGCAGGACTGGGTACCTCGCACTCAAAATTTCTAACTTCCTTTGGTTCTGGGTCTGTTTGTTTTTTCACAAGCTGCACATAATTCCTCTAATTATGTTGATTTTCTGTACTTCTTGGTGCAATGGGCAAGTCCTGGAGGAGAAGAAGAAACCCCATAGCCTGGCATTTTGTAAAGACTATGTAGAAGGGCATAATTATTTTATAATTATCTCATAATTACTCACAGGTAACTACAGACCTGCGGTAGCATCTCAGACCTGAACTAAATAATGAAGACTAACAAAGAACACAGGGAATAAAAGGAGGGAAATACAACAGGGGCAACCAACATGGGTTCATAGAAAATTCACCCTCACTGAACTGTGTTCCTACTTTTCTCTGAGGAAATTGCAGATACCATTGTTAAATATAACAAAGCTGGTACAATATACTTGAGATCCTGGAAGGCAGTTTCCCGTCTATCATACGGCACAATGATTAAAGAACTTGCTTGGCAYAGAAATAAGATAGGAGTCATTAAACAGACTATAAATGACTTATCAGACTGGTTCCAAAGCACAATTGAGAACTAGAAGTGATTGGGGGTTTTTGTTGTATCAAGATCCTGGAGGGTGCTTGGCATCAGGATATTTTTAGTCAACAACCTAGAAGAAAACATCAGGTGTTTTACAAAAGTCACCAAGTCCTGGAGAGGGGTGAATCATGAGGAAGGGGATGGCTGRTCTAGAGCACACTGATGGCATAGGGGGTTGGACAAATATGGACAGGGATTGGTTTAGCACAGGAAGGGAAGGTCAGTTCCTGCACTTCTGCAGGGAGAGCAGCTGTAGCTCTGCTGTGGAGAACTTTGTCCCAGGAAGCAGTGACTTCCTGGAGGGCACTGAGCTCAGGGCAGCTSAGGAGCTGCACACAAACTCCACACTGCACACCTTAGGGCTCACATGTAGAGRCAAGGTGGATACACCTCAGCCCTGCCTGCTTTATACTACCATTTTCAGGAAAGCCCTCTGCCATCAAGAGTTCCCTATTATGTGTTCTCCATGACCTCTAATTCATCAAATTAGTAAAAGAGTGCTTATTTTCTGGTCCAAAACCCAGCCTATTTTAATGACTACCTGCCAGCTTGAATGAAGTAGATGAGAAGGTACCCTCAGTAGTGTCTTGTCWTCTTGTACTGATCACATGAGACTGCAGATCTACACATGGGCTGCTGACTGCAGTTTTAAGGGCCCAAATCTGCTCATCTCAATTCCACCTCCCAAAAATAATTTATGATTTGTGAGGTGACCCAAAAAGCAGCATCATAAGTGGTGATTGCCGTATCATTCTGAGGATTCTCACCCAGCATGAGGGTGCCAGCAACCCCCTCTTTGGAACTGCACCATTTCAACTCCACTGGAGCACAAACACCAGTCCTGGAGGGCTGTCAGTGAACCTACAAAGACTTCTGAACAATTACCCACCAATCATGCACTTCAAAGAGACACAAAAACAACCCCAGACTCCTGGAAATTCTCTCAGGTGCTATTTGGTGCTTCCAAGGTCATGCCTGTCAAAAGCCATGACTGTCCTACAAGTAGATTTTAATTTAGCTGGAGATGGACTTTTGCATGAACAGGTCTCCTCGATGACAAAGACCAGTMAATAACAAACCTCAGATGTCAAAGGATGGAACCACCTCATTTTTCTGCTGTTGCACTCTTTGAATGCATGGAAAGCATGGATATCTTAGAAACAGATGTTCTGGGAAAACCAAAGTCTGCCAAAGAATAAAGGAAAGGTTCTTTGTGTAAGGAAAGGATGCCTGAGCTTGCCTGGGCAGAAAGGTCTTATTCATGAACAACAGAACAAAATAAACAATGTAGGCTTTCTCCCGGTGCAGGGAAGAGGGCAGGCTCAGGCTGGGACTTCTAGAGGCAGCATTTAATTTACAATGTGCCCCTCAGAGAGAAGGTAGAACTGTGGACTGCCAGGAAAGGAGGTCTGTGAAACTGCCAAGAGATTCTGATGATCCAGGCCCAACTCTCCCTTTTAGGCAAGGTATTTAGGAGTGGCAAAAGTAAAGATGG